TGCATTGCCATCCATTTGGGAGCTATGTTTCAAGTTTCAAGTCTCTAGCTCATCGGGAACTTTGTTTAAAATTGATATCAAAATTTGTAGGAAAGCGACTAGCGAGGTAATAAAAACAAGCCCATGGGGCGTAGCACAAGGGAAATATGAAAATTAAATGATATAATATTGCATTGTCATCCATTTGTGAGCTATGTTTCAAGTTTCAAGTCTCTAGCTCATCGGGAACTTAGTATAAAATTGATTGCAAAATTTGTACCAGACAAGAAATAAGCGAGCTAATAAAAAACGTTTTAATATATAATTCTGAGCAATTTGCAGACAAAACTCTAATTTTATTTATGAAGATATATTGTTTGTTTATTTACTCTATTACTGAATTATTAATTATAATTATGAATCTTTGATTCTCAATTCTCATTACTGTATAGATGATGTTTGCATTACCACAAAGTTATTGGTTTTTGTTCTGTCATACTGTTCAATGCAAACACAAGGTTGCCTGCATATTCCAACCATGGTAAGTGTGTGTAACTTATTCAGTTATGGGCTAGTTTGACTAGCCAGAAAACCGGGCTGACACTAACAATGACAGTTTTTTACTTTCCTAAATCTATTTTCACAAGGTCAGTTTGTGTGGTATATTTTCCAGGGCGGCTATTTCAGTGACATCCATATCCATGTTAATCAGACACAATAACAAACACTGAAAATCTTCAAAAATATTGATCAAAATGGTTCCTTGTGCTGGAAATATGTAAACACCTTACCTACTCTATGTTAAAAAAATCTAAAATCGTATAACTCATTGAGTGAAGCTCTTATACGTCGACTCTTATGCATTTCGTAATACGCAATCTCCTCCAAGACGGCTGAAGTAATCATTTTCAAATTTTGCATGGTGATAAAGACCATATATCGGTGAGTGCTAACAACTATATGGTGTTAAAAAAACTCTCTAAGGAATCCCCCCCACTGGCTCTAAAAATTTTTATGTAATCTTTATGGACGCAGTATTTGACACAAAAACAAAGACACAAGATCAGCTGTTGACGTATTAAAGGACTTAACTGAAACGGCTACTTTAAAAAAGGTCGTAGGTAAAAGGAATTACTGTAACTGTTATCACCGATATTAGAACAGAAACGGTATGGTTCATAAACATAAAAAATGACGTCACTAGCTTTTTATTATAATAATAGTTGTTTTATTACAAATCCAGTTATTTTATTATAATAAACCTTTTAATTGGAAGTCAACTATACTTTTTATACTAAATAAATTGTTTTTAATTTAATTCCCTCATCAGTAGATTGAAATATATAAAAATAGTCACACAATGTCCACAAAATGTCAATATCAAGCAGCTGATTCGAATCCTACGTGGTGTTTTCTAGTTATGTTTAATTTTTTTACTCGTATTATGGATACTAGTACCTGGGGACCGAGCTTTGCTCGGGAAAAGTCATTAGTTCACTCTGAAAGCAGTCTTAGTATTGGAGATACATAAATCTATTCCCAAACTCCACACGGCTCGCCTTTACTACGTCCTACACCATTTCCTACGTCTTGGACCTGTTTTCAATCAATTATCAATCAATCAATCAATTATCAATTATTTAAGATGGGGACGCCACTATGTGCGTATTTTAACCCAAATATGAGTGAAGGATGAGTGTAGGATGAGTGGCGCGATCTTGTAGTCTTGTTAGTGACTAAGGCCGACATGTTCCTTAGACACAGCTGTTAATTAATAGCCCATACAGCTAATGGCAACTAAGGGACCTACAGTTTATTGTGGAATCCGAACCACATTTTTTCCTCGTAATTAACGAATTGGTCTAATTATTTAGGATAGTACTGCGGATAGTCGTAGTACTCACTAGTGCGGACGTTAATCCACACCAGGTAGCATCGCATCCACAGTGCATCCCCTATAATTATCCACAATTCGTGACCTCCTAGTAGCTGGATTACAGGACGACGCCACCCGTCCCAGTCGAATATTGATATATTGTTTGTTTGTTTACTCTATTACTGAATTATTAATTATAATTATGAATCACGTTATGCTCTTTCCAATGACACCAAAAACATGTCAATCGGTTCAGTAATTTCAAAAGTAATTGTCACAAAAAACCTGCTTGCGTATTTAATAAGTATAGATTTAAAAAAATTAGGTACATCAATCTCCTTAAAACCAAATCACAAATCCTTCAATCACTCAAAAGTCACAATATATAAAGCACACAAACATATTTCCTCCCTTCCCATAGCATTTTAAGATTGCAGATACCTCAATCTAATCCTCATAGACAGTTCCCACACTCCGGACTACTCGCCTTGACTACTTCCTTCACCACTTCATACGTCACGGACATGTTTCCCTCCATTCCCATAGCATTTAAGGATTGCCCATACCCTTATCTAATCGTCATAAACAGTTCCCACACTCCGGACTGCTCGCCTTTTGACTACTTCATTCATCACTTCCTAAGTCACAGACCTGTTTCCCTCTATTCCCATAGCATTTATGATTGCCTTTACTACTTCCTTCACCACTTCCTACGTCGCGGATCTGTTTCCTTCCCTTCCTATAGCATTTTAAGAATTGCAGATACCTTAAGCTAATCATCATAAACAGTTCCCACACTCCGGACAGCTCGCCTTGACTACTTCCTTCACCACTTCCTACGTCACGGACCTGTTTCCCTCCCTTCCCATAGCATTTTAGGATTGCAAATACCTCAATCTAATCGTCATAAACAGTTCCCACACTCCCGACTGCTCGCCTTGACTACTACCTTCACCACTTCCTACGTCGCGGACCTGTTTCCCTCCCTTCCCATATCATTAACTACTTCCTCACCACTTCCTACGTCGCGGGCCTTTTTCCTTCCCTTCCTATAGCATTTTAAGAATTGCAGATACTTTGATCTAATCGTCATAAACAGATCCCAGACTTCGCACTGCTACCCTTGACTACAATGTATCGAGTAATCTTCAGTATAATCTTTGCTAGATATTAACATGTGATGTTTTACCTTTTGTACTGTATTTGTAATTTGTTGTATACTGTGGGTAGTTGGCTTATTATGAACACATGCTACAATTTCAAGTATGTTGTTTACTTTTTACTTGTTATTTAATTCAGCCAACATGGTTACCTAGCAACCCATAAGACTAATGTAAAAAAAAAATTGATTTTCAGTTGCATTTTTCTACGTAATTAAATTTTTGTTGGCAGTTCTAACTGCAGTAAACTCGTTTTTATGCCAGAAATAAACTATTTACAACATTTGAAGAAAATCGTCGGAGCCGTTTTCGAGATCTTGGTGCAAGCATACATACATACATACATACAAGCAAACCTTGCTCGTATTAGAGTATAGGATAATAAAAAGTGTTCCAATAGTTACATGAATAACGAAACCCGGTTCTTATAAAAAAAAGTTGACCCATAAATTGAACTAGGTATATGTTGCTCGAAATCGAGCAATCGCAAAGAAGTACATAAAGGAGTTATTTAAAAACAAATAACTTGTTTAAGAACAAATATAATATAAGTTATAAATTCTGATGAGTTTAAAAGAGTCAACCCAAAGATTACGTAACTAATAATAATACTCACAATGTACTTACCAGTTCAACATAATCAACATTTCTTGTAAATATTTTATCATGTTTCAAAAGCTGATCTGGCTTTTAGCATGGTGGAAGGAAAAAACATAGGTGTGCTATTCCCATCATATTCTGACGTCACTTGGATTGCAAACAAAAGATCACCTGATTATAACTGTCAAATTAGTATATGTATTTGTTTTGATTTGGTTGTTATTGTTTTTATAATGTGTGTTTTTGTTTTTATAAAAAAAAAACATTAACAATCAAATCAAAACAAATACATACTAATTTGACAGTTACAATCAGGTGATCTTTTGTTTGCAATACAAGGACGGGAATAGCACGCCTATGTTTTTTCCTTCCACCATGGGCTTTTAGTGTGTTGTAGAAATGTTTCCCACTTATAGTCGCAATAGGTTCTCCATGTTGGTCTTTGTCAATGATAATGTAGTTTGCGTGGTATCACCATAGACTAAGCAACACAAGTAGACTCCTCATCCCATTGTAAATTTTGAAGCTTGTTTTTTGTGTCTAGTTCATGTACGTCCACACTGATCGCTAGTGTAGACAACATTTTGTTTCTATTATTTTAGGGTTATTTTCATGATTTGTGCTTTACTATTTGGTTATATAACTAGGAGACCAGTTATTGTTTATGATTATATTGTTTTATTAGGTTAAACGAGGTTTTAAATGACTGCAATAACAAGAAACAAATTGTAAACAAAACATAACCTCTATAGTTGGACGTACAGAACTAACAATAAAATTGGCTTCAGCTGTTCCATTAGGATGACTAATCTACTAAGGGAGTATGTTTTATCTATGGTATCACCCATTGTCGCCAGTACGTTTACAAATTTCAGTCTTTATTTTAATAGCACCAAATAACCATTAACTACCTGATTTTCTGCATAACCTCTCTGTCACAATTTTACAATTAACATATGTTCTTCTTCTCACTTTAAATTTCTGACAACAGCTGGAGTTTCATAACAATGTTTGTTTCCCATGTTAATCTTATGGAAAAATACAAAACTTTAAAGGGCCCCAGGTCCTCACTCTCTAATTATTTCCCTAAAGAGAAAGTTTCTTGCACAACTTCACGTTATGCTCTTTCCAATGACACCAAAAACATGTCAATCGGTTCAGTAATTTCAAAAGTAATTGTCACAAAAAACCTGCTTGCGTATTTAATAAGTATAGATTTAAAAAAATTAGGTACATCAATCTCCTTAAAACCAAATCACAAATCCTTCAATCACTCAAAAGTCACAATAAATCATTAATAAAAACACAAACATTAGCTGTTATAAACTCTAGAATATTGTTATGACTTTTTAATAGTGTGTCATCAAAATATATAAAAAACAACATTTCATTTCATATAATTTTATTCATTTCAGTACATCAATACAGGAATAGCGATCTATACTATATAAAGTTGGAAATGATTAATTTACCAAGTATCGAAATATAAGAAGGTTTCTACTGACTTATACAATCCCCGCCCATAGAACAGGCACCCTGCTAGTTAAATATCAAGATATCTCTTGTTACCCAAGACAAGGTAAGTTAGTGAAAGTAATCATTTTAACAAACATAATAAACAGTTTTTTTTTTTACCAGGCAGAAGTACAAACAAATATTAAAAATGTAAGAAAAAATCTTCATAAAAACAATAAAATTATCTTAATTTAATAATCTAAATGAGAAAAAAATGTAAATACTGATGTTCAAAATAAATGTTAAACTAATCAACATAATGGATCCAAACTGATTTGTCTCCACTTCTTCAGCCTCCTCTCCCCCAACCTCCATGCCTCCATCGCCATCCACCCTGTCATCAGGCCTGGATAGTGGATATAACAGAACAAAAATTAATAATTAAAACAGTATTCTGAACAAAGAGTCTTTTTATGCATACTTCTATCATTATTTAATGTAGGCTACTCAGTGGCGTACTGAGGGGGGGGGGGGGAGGGCGGTTTGCACCAGGCCCCACACCAACATAGGCCTCCAAATCAGGGCCGTATTCCCCTAACAGTGGACACTGCGATTGCCAAGGGCTTCGGCCTGGGAAGGGGACTCACTTGGGGCCTCAAAAGAATGCTTTTTCTCTTGGAAAATAAATTTTCCCACAATCTGTTAGAATTAGGGGGTACAATAATCCAAGTTTGTCTTGTATTCTCATGATAGCCGAAAGCGTTTGCAAAGATTGCGTGATCGAAATTTACGACTACCAGCGATCGCGGGTGACGATAATCAGGCCTCGCAACCGCGAAAGATGTTCACGATTGCACCGAGGATGCCCACAATTTTAACCATTGGCGACCTTGGGAGATGAAGATGATGACCCTGCAATCACGATTTGGTCATTACCGAGGACAATATCGTTTAATTTTGCCACAATTGCAGTAACCGTTTGGATCAATACATAAGTGCCGACCCATATAACCCATTTTGTATAGGACAAAATATAACGTACAGAGTGTGGCAAAATTATCTGACAGTTTTCTTTGCTGCCCTGTCGGGCGAGTGACTGGCGGAAGGTGGTGGGGATAGGGGCGCTTCAAGGCCTACGAGCGGACATTTTTAGTTGCCATGGAGCTGGTCATCACTGAAACAGAAGAGTATTTTGAAGGCTTTTCAAGTTTGTATGGTACTATTTATTTGGACATAATTTGAACGAGGTTGGAGAAACTTTAAGATAAGTGTATAGAGCTGAATAAAAGGAGATTATAGCAAAATAAATCAAATTTATCACAACAAATTGTGTTATTCTATATTCTTCTAAGGTCTTATTGAACCACGCTTGTACTAAATACCTTATTGATGTATGAGAATTTTTTGTTTCAACTGCTTCTGTTGACAGGGGCTTTTCCATTTGTCTTAAAATTATTGTTGTTTCAGTACTTACCAAATGTAAAAACTATGACATATTCAGAAAAATTATAGTTATGGTGTCAAAAAATATAGCCTACATTTCCTAAAAAACAAAAGCAAATTTTTGGGCACCTCTCGAGTTAAAATGCTGGTTAAATACTAGTAATTCAGGAGGGTTATGCGACATAGGCTTGGGGGCAATGGACACGGCCCTGGTTTTATAAGTATTAAATTTAAGTAAATGGCAAAACTTACCATTAGTTAGTTCTCTTCAATCTTAGTCTTTACTTCGCCCCATCCTCGATCTCCTCTTCCTCTGGCACCTCTCCCCTGTATTCTCCAATGTCGGAGGATATTAATTACAACGCCCCCATTTTACTGGTAGGCTTCATTCAGTTCTGTACAGAAATATTGCAAAAAATAGTGTTATACAAATAATTTTAGTCCAACAAATAATACAAGTGTGTACACTCCTTTCTATATTTGCGATATTCAAATAGGTACAGCTAATAGGAAAATGTTTGAGTAAATCTGGGTCAAGTTAGTACAAATATTAGAATTTGTAACAATAATTTGGTTTAGACAAAATAAATTGGTTTAACTTGTTCGCTACCACAATTATATGGAATTTACGTTCGCATAGACCACCGACGCATATTTGCGTCAGCTGATCACATTGAAATAGACTAACGACGCACACTTGCGTCGGTGTTCAATGTTATTAATCAGCGTATTTCTTAGCAACGGTCTATTTTAAAGCCCTGATTTTATCGTATCGGTCTAGAGGGATATCTGCCGCAAATGTGCGTCGCTTGGTCTGTGGATATGACGATTGGTTACGTCACACAACAGTTGGCAACATTGTTGTTTACATTGTGCATTCCGCGACATCTCAGAACAGATGTAAACGTTAACCTTTGCAGTTTTGGCGAGTGGTGGAGTTTCTTTATTTGTTTGTGTAAAAGCTTGAAACAACCAAATTTACAACGACGCTTAAACGTGTGTCGCCTGGTCTATTGAAACGAAAATGTAGGTAATCTTTTTATCTAGATTTCATTAAATAAACTGACCGACGCATATATGCAGCGTTTTGAAAGTTGCTCCAAACGATAAATAAAAACAATATTTATTGCTTACTTATTCACTTAAGGTTAATATGAAGTCAATTCGTCCATTTAAACGATATTTCTCTTTTGGTCTGTTGGCAATGTTATTCCTATATCACTTGGTCTGTAAGCAACGTCATGATCATTCCTTTTGGTCTGTAGGAGTGACCGGACCAACGCATATGTGCGTCGCTCGGTAGCGAACGTGTTAAACATTAATTATTTGTTATTTCCCAATTTGCAAAAATGCAAGCTCTAGCCTAATTAAGACATTTCCAAACAACATGTTTCGAGATGTATCCAAATACATTTTAAGTAGGGGCCTAGTTTTAATTTTTTATAAAAAAAACTATAAATTTGCATAAAGATTATAATTAATTATCCTTATGTTCCACCAAAAACTACTAATAATAGTTTATTTGTGTAGGTAACTAGTGGGCGAAGTGGCACTTTGCTACACATAAGAGAAATGTTTACGCACGAGCCGTAGGCGAGTGTGGAAAGTTTCTCGAGTGCAGCAAAGGCAGTTTGCACTTGTGTTACACATTATATTTTCCCTAAAGTTACCATAAAACATATAAATAATTAGTTGTTCAAACTCTGTTCAACACTAAATGAAATGATTCAGTTTGGATCAGTTTCTATGGTTGTCGATAATATGGAACCCACCCAAATATGGACAGTAAGTTTAGGCCTAGGACATAAAAATGTTCTTTCCATTTATGATAACCCAACCTAACATAACCGCCGCAAAGCGCTGTATAGCCTATCTGTAGCCTCCGGATAATACTTACCAAAGTACCGATTTGAACATTGAATAACTTAGTTAACAAACATAGCCTAGAATCTATCACAAAGGGGAAAGAATGTTCACCTCACTTAAGTTATGGTTAGACCAAGTAACATTATCACGGCAGTATGGTAATTGCCTCCAGGGTCCACAACTCTGGTCTCTCTTTCTCTCTCATCTGCAGTGATGTCGATGGCAATGTCGTCCAGAAAGGTTAGTCCTCTTAACTTATTGGTTCAAGACAATATTTAAAATAGAGACCAATTTGGGTTCAGGTCAAATTACAGCCTTTGCTCCAGGATCATCTATAAAATTAACATTGATGTCATCAGCAATGAATTATATAATCCAAGTCTAGTCTTACACCAAATACAAACAGCTCTAGAATATTTGACAGCACATAATTTTACGTCCTACACTCATTCCAATGAATATATTTCTTTAATACTTTCTTACTTATTACTTGGCGACCATACAAAGTATAGTCTGATTTTTACCGGAGTGCGGCTGGAGCTCAGCCCTACCTGTGAGGGACCCGACTCACGCACGCACACTCACCACCGTCCTAATTGCCTGAAAGCCCCGATCCCCTATTCACTAAGTAGAAATATAAGATCTGTTGTATGATACCTCAAAATTGCAATTCATTTGATTTTAGATATACAGTAAAATGGTTAGTGTTAATAAATTTGTTGTTTAATTCAATGAAAAATGAGTCCAAACACGAAATGATTATGACAAGTAGCTAGCTAATAAAAACGTGTTAAAATATTCGTAGCTTTTACACTTTGTAAGCAAAATATATATTGTTTGGTACCTAGGTATCATTTTACTAAGCATTTTGAGCTGAAGTCAAAATCGTTACCACATTTTATAACAAACGTAAAATTAAAAAAAATTATAGTTCAATTTCCGTGAGCCAGCGATGACTCGTGCGGCAGGACAATGGTCCGTCCCACGTCCGTCCTAATCCCTTGCGTCTGTGTGTGTGAGGCCTGCGTGTGTGAGAGTATGGTCGACCCTTCAGCCAGCCGCTTTCCGTCAACAATCACACTATAGGTACCGTATTTTAAGCCAAGTATGAATGGAAATGAGTGTAGGATCAGGATGAGTGGCGCGATCTTGTAGTCTTGTTAGTGACTAAGGCCGACATTCCTTAGACACAGCTGTTAATTAATAGCCCATACAGCTAATGGCAACTAAGGGACCTACGGTTTATAGTGGAATCCGAACCACATTATTGTCTTGGTATATACGAATTGGTCTAATTATCAGGATAGTACTGCGGATAGTCGTAGTAAGTACTCACTCGTGCGGACGTTAATCCACACCAGGGAGTATCGCATCCACAGTGCATGCCTATAAATATCCACAATTCGTGACCTCCTAGTAGTTGGATTGGTAAATGGGGTACAGGACGACGCCACCCGTCCCAGTCATATTGATTATTTCATTCAATAAACTTAGGCCTATATCAATTTTGGGTAATGTTAGGGTAAAACTTAACCTAACTAACGGAATGAAATATTCAAAATATTAAATAGTCTTGTATTAATATCTTTCATTTGAATGAATGTAGGACATAAACTAAAGTGCAGCCAAATATTTTTACATAAACAAATTTTTAAAGTTGACACTGGGTCAGTGGGAAAAAGAGACAATCCTAATAGCCTAGGGATAGTGCCTATTCAAACATTTGCTACAATATTGCTTGATGACTTGATGATCCAGAATTAGCCTACGAATAAGCTGTATCTTAGGTTCTTGTTGGTGACTTACCTAAGTTAGTGTCTGGTAGGACTACTTAATGTTATTAAGTTATCACGTTGATTACGTTTTTTACCAAATAAAAATTAACTTATTTCACATTATTCCTTAAAAACTATTGTTTGTAACACTCGAGTCATCTATTTTCTTGTAAACAAGGAAAGAAATAAAAAAGATAAATATTTACAATATAAAAGTTGTTAGTCAATAAATGGCCAGCTTGAAGATGTCCGTCGGAATTCGGAATCAAATATTGCGACTCGTGAGTTGAGGAACTGAACGATGAATTAGAACAGCTCCTTTTCAAGAGTAGCTCCGAAGAACGGGTGCTTGTCGATATACTGGGACTATTTCAGTGTCGACAAAATGAAACTATTTCATTGTCGACAATATGGGATGTCGACAATTTGTGGTGTCGATAATTTGCGACGTCGGTTATTTGGGATGTCGGTTAAGTGGGAATATTCCAGTGTCGACAAACTGGGAATAATTCAGTTTCGATCAATTTCTACGGTTGTCGATATTATGGAACCCACCCGTCCCAACACCAACAAGCGGCTGGTAGCCCTAAGAGTACTAGCTAGGCCACTAGGGCCGTCAATGCTCTGTCCGTGGTGGCACAGAATCGAGAACTGCACACACACACTAACACAGACGCGTGCGACGTTTACTTACGCTGACATTCAATCGTTCGTTTACCCTATCAGCTGATGTGAGTTTGAGAGGAAGTTTGAAAAATTAAGTGGAACAGTCCTGTTCCAAGGCTTATGCAATCCGGCAACAACGACTCTGCGTCAGTGGGACCTCTTCAATGAGAGCCTAGCAGCATAGATAAAACATACTCCTCAAGGTATACTCCTTGAGGAGTATGTTTTATCTATGGTTTTATCTATGCTACAAGATAGTGTCACTCATCATACACTCGTACTTCTATAATTTTTTGGTTAAAATACGCACATAATGGCGTCCCCATCTTAAATAATTGATATAATTGATTTTTGCATCCACTCCACATTGTTAAATAAAAAGACAGTTGCTAAAACATTTCTATCTATAAGAGTTGACCCACGGTCACCTTTAACTCCGGTAGCTAAAGGTGGCCGTGGTTGACCTCAAAGGTATAAAACATGATCATGTATAACACTGATCAGCTGTCAGCTGATATAATAGTGTTGCTGTGATACTCACTTTAGACAAACCCATTTTTTACTAGTTTTCTGCTATTAAAATCAGATTTCTTATATCCTTGAAAATAGGTTAGGGTATTTTGTAACTTTGTGAAGATAAAATTGTCATACAAGTGCAACACAATTATACAATTTTGCCAATTTTCTTAAAAATAATGGTTTCCGAAGATGGACATTCTTCAGGGGAACACCACGAAAACCTTTTTATTAGATTTCTTGGCAAAGTGGTCAATGCCATTGAAGAGCCTGTCGTTTGGTTTAGAGGTAAGCTAAAGTAACACAAAATAGGATATACATTTCAACGTTCATGATGCTTTACCATTAAATTTGATTACTTTTGTACTCAAAAGGAGCTTTTGTCCAATTCTGTTATGAAACTCATTCCTCAAAGGTCATACAATAGGCCTACAGTGTGACCTGGCCTAGGTTATAAACTAGGCCTAACTTAAATCTTAGTCCTTCCTTAAGTAGGCTTTCAGATTGTAGTTCCACAGAGAACCTGCAATATATTATCGGATGAATAACGTTATATATCGATAATTATCCGATTCAATCCCCAAACTTAAGTTACCTGCCTATCTTTCCTACTATGTTTTTTTCACCATCGATCGAGCACCCAAAGCACCCTACTTTCATCAGGAACATTCGAGGATGTGACATTGAAAAGGTTAAAATTGACCTCCAGGACGGAGCCATTCAGCTCGACTAGGCTATGATTGCAGCGATGTCAATCTTCAATTTTCCACTTTTTGCAGTCAACTCAGCGAACTCATCAAGTCTCACTCTCCTTGAAAGTCTGTCAGTCCCTCCGTCTTTCCAAAATGGTTCTCCAAAGAGCTTAGGGAACTTGTTATTCTGAAGAAGACGCTTCACAAGAAATTTAAGATAGGCTATCTCTCAACATGATTGACTACCACAACTTTAGCGTCATTCGGGACCGATGCAGGGCTGTATCCAGGGATTGTCGTTTGAGCTACGTCAACCATGTTAATACTACCATTTCCACTAATGTCAAGATCTTCTGGAGTTTTGTGAAGAATCTCAATCGCACATCTTCCATGCCCTGCTCCCTTAAACATGGTCCAACTGAGGTTTCCCACCCACATGAGATGTGTGAGCTGTTTGCCGAATATTTCTCGTCCGTCTACTCTCATGCGTCCCTTGATGAGCTGCCAGTACCTTCATTTGATACTCCATTCACCATCTCAGAATGTGCTATCTCCCTAGAAGATATCAATAAGAAGCTTCTTCACTTGGACCCCACCAAGGGTAGTGGACCTGACAACATCACGCCAGGAGTACTCAAATTCTGCCACTCTGAGCTGGTACATCAGCTCCATTTCCTATTTAACCTCAGTTTGTCTACAGGCACTTTTCTTTCCACACTGAAATATGGTTATGTGGTTCCAATCTTCAAAGCCGGTGATCGTTGCGATGTTACAAATTACAGGCCCATAGTAATTCAGTCCGTCCTCAGTAAAGTTTTTGAAGGGCTTATTTTAGACATCGTACAGCCTTTATTTAAACATATCATAATTGATGAGCAGCATGGCTTTACCTCCGGTCGCTCCACTGTGACGAATCTTTTATCTCTCCAGTGTCTGGTGTTGGAAGCCTTTGGTCAAAGAAATCAAGTTGACGCCATTTACATTGACTTTAGTAAAGCTTTTGACAAGATAAATCACAGTCATCTGCTTGCAAAGCTCCAGGGTTATGGGTTCACTGGAAGGATTCTACAATGGTTTAAGAGCTACCTTACCAATCGACGGCTTGCTGTACGCCTTGGTTCTGAAGTCTCTTCTTTCTTCGCTGCAAGTTCTGGTGTTCCTCAGGGGTCTCATCTTGGACCGTTCTTGTTTTCCATCTTTATTAATGACATTAAGAAGGTCATCAAAGTCCTATTTCTTCTATTTGCGGATGACATTAAGCTACTCGTTGAAGTTGCATCACATCATGACTGCCAGTCCTTGCAGGACGCCCTCGATGACATTTGGCTGGTGCCTCTCCAATGACATGGCTGTGAATCCCACAAAAACCAAATTGATCACGTTCAGCAGGAAATTAAATACAGTGTTAGCTGTCTACTCTCTTGATGGCAACCGGGTTGAGAGATGCAATACCATCAAGGATCTTGGTGTTCTAATTGACTCCTCATTCGAGTTTGGTCCCCACATAAACCAAATCTGCACTAGGGCCTCTCGTATGCTCGGTTTGGTATTCCGCTCTGCTAGACATGGTTTGAGCAACCATGCCTGTATTATCCTATACAAGTCTCTCATCCTGCAGCTACTCGAGTATGCTTCCTTGGTTTGGTCACCATACCATCTTGGCCATATTTACCATCTTCAGTCGGTACAAAGACGCTTCATCAGGTTCCTGGAATGTCGTGCTGGACTTGACTTTCGTGACGTCCGGGTAGACGAGCTCTCTAATATCTATGACATTCCGAGTCTTGAAAACAGAAGGCGGGTGGCTGATGTGACCTTTCTCTACAAACTGATAAATAACCAAGTCAACTGCCCCTTCTTGCTGGAAAGGATAAACTTCCATGTTCCTTCGAGAATCACGAGACATCAGCGTGTATTTGAACTTGACCATACTGGGACCAACTACGCCAGATCTAGTCCCATTCCCCGGATTATGCGCCTCGGGAATGTGATAAGCAGCTCTGTTGACCTTTTAACTGCCTCCTTGGGAGTGGTTCGGCAATCTGCGGCTGACAGCATCCTTGAGGGTACCCCGTAAAAGCATTGTTGTTGTTGTTCCTTTGTTGTTGATTTTTCTCTTGTTAATTTTGTGATGTATTTTGTTTGTATTCTTGTTATTGATATATTCATTGTTATATTTTGTTATTGTTATATTTTTTGTACATTGTTATATTTTTTATACATTGTTATTTTTTTTCTTAAATATTGTTTTCTACTCCTCTGTTAATTATTAAATCTTTATAATATTTGTAACTACTTAATGTAAAATGGTGTTTGCCGTTGGTGTTTAATAAATAAATAAATAAATAAACCAGGCCTAACTTTTGTAATAAATAAAACAACATTAGGCTAGGCCACCAAAAACAAATAATATTTAGGGCCTAATAAAAAAAAATAGATACTAAAACCACAAACTATGATAAAAAGAACTAGGTAATTATATCGAACACGGACGTCTTGCTAAAATTATATTTTTTTCACTTTTCTAATGCTAGGCCTAAATAACGTCCCAAATTAAAAAATGATTGTCTTTTTCCCCGGACAAGCACAACATTTTTGCGGAAATGGGGCATGAGGGTACTCAAATAAACCAGTATAGTGAGCTGAACAAGAACATGCAAGAATTTTTAAAATTTTATGAAAATTAACGGAGATACGGCCAAAAAAATTGTTTGTGGTAACCATGTAAACCACCTAGGCTATATTATTGTTCTTTGTCTTATTCTGAACAAAATGATATATAACAATCCATAGTTATGTTGCTATTTCTGATTTTTATGATGGTTTAAAAATGATATTACATAATCAATAATAGGCCTATCCCTATGCCAGAACAGCGTTACACTAGTGCCAGCTCTAGGGTTAATATCTATTGGATCTTAAAAATTCTTGCATATTCTCGTTCAGCTCACTATACTGGTTAATTTGAGTACCCTCATGACCCATTTCCGCAATAATGTTGATTTTCCGCATTCTCGGGGAAAATGACAATCATTTTTGAATTCAGGACGTTATTTAGCATAATAACAGTGAAAAAATATAATTTTAGTGAGACTTCCGTTATTGATATCTAGGTAGTTACCAAAACTAAAGCAGCTTATGATTTTTCTTTTTACGGGATCAAACATGTTTTTTTTTTTTAGAAAATCAACTCAGTTTTCCATAAACTGCATAAGTTAATATTACAAAATTAATTGTTTCCTCAATTTTTAATCGTAAGTAACTTACTAGGATATATAATTGACTGTGGATAAAATAAACACAAAAAGCCTCTTTAATGTGTTTGTTGTACCGGTTTGTAATAATTAACAACAA